GTGAAAACTTGTCTTGAACTCCTATCTCCCTGCAGTCCTCCTTCCTCAGCCTCCTAAAGTGTTGAGATTATAGGCGTGTGCCACTGCACCCAGCCTGAATATATCTTTTTTTGACAGAGACACAGTCTCACTTTATTGCCCTCGGTAGAGTGCCGTGGCGTCACACTGCTCACAGCAACCTCTAACTCCTGGGCTTAGGCGATTCTTCTGCCTCAGCCTACCAAGTAGCTGGGACTACAGGCACCTGCCACAAATCCTAGCTATTTTTTGGTTGTAGTTATCATTGTTTTTGGTAGTCCTGGGCTGGGTTTGAACCCACCAGCTCCAGTGTATGTGGCTGGTGCCCTAGCCGCTGAGCTTATAGGTGCTGAGCCATTGTTTTTATTTTTTGTAGAGATGGGGTCTTACTACATTGCCCAAGCCAGTTACAAATTCCTGGTCTCAAGCAGTCCTCTTGCCTCAGCCTCCCAATGTCCTAAAGTTATAGGCATGATTTTTGTTTGAGTATCTGTTTTCAACTTGTTTTGATATTTATCTAGGAATAGAATTGCTGGGTCATAGGATAAAGGTAATTTTGTGTTGAACTTTTCTTTTTTTTTGCCCTAGGCTAGAATGCAGTGGTATTATCCTAGCTCACTACAACCTCAGACTCCTAGGCTCAAGCCCTCCTTCATCCCTCAGCCTTAGCTGGGACTACAGGCATGTGCCACTGTGCCCAGCTATTTTTTTCTATTTTTTGTAGAACAGGGTCTCACTCTTGCTTAGTCTGCTCTTGGTCTCCTGACTTCAAGTAATCCTCTCAGAGTGCTAGGATAACAGGTGTGAGCCACCACACCTGGCCTCTATAACTTGCTGAGGAACCACGAAACTATTTCCCAGTGTCTGAACCAATTTACATTCCCAGCAGTAACATACAAGAGTTCTAGTTTCTCCTCATCCTCACCAAATGCCTTAGTCCATTTTGTGTTGCTGTAACAGAACACTCAGACTGGGTAATTTATCAACAATAGAAGTTTATTTGGGCTCAGCGCCTGTGGCTCAAGTGGCTAAGGTACCAGCCACATATGCCTAAGGTGGTGGGTTTGAATCCAGCCCGGGCCCGCCAAACAACAATGACGGCTGCAACCAAAAAATAGCTGGGTGTTGTGGTGGGTGCCTGTGGTCCCAGCTACTTGGGAGGCTGAGGCAGGAGAGTCACTTGAGCCCAGGAGTTAGAGGTTGCTATGAACTGTGATGCAACAGCACTCTACTCAGGGGCACAGCTTGAGGCTCTGTCTCAAAAAAATAGAAGTTTATTTGGCTCACGGTTCTGGAGCCTGGGCAGTCCAGGATTGAGAGGCTGCATCTATTGAGGGCTTTCTTGCTGCACCATACTATAGTGGAAAACATCACATGGCAAGAGAGAACAAGAGATTAAACTGGAAGCCCCATTCCTCTTATAATCAACATTAATCCCCTCCTGAGGGTGGAGCCCTCGTGACCTAAACACCTCCAATGAATCCCCACTTGCCCAACACTGTTGGATTAGGATTAAGCCAATACATTGTTTAGTTTTGTTTGAGACAGAGTCTTGCTTTGTCACTTTCAGTAGTGTGCTTTGGTGTCATAACTCACAGCCACCACAAACTCTTGGGCTCAAGCGATCTCTTGCCTCAGCCTCCTGCATAGCTGGCACTATAGGTGCCGGAAAACACCCAGCTATTTTTAGAGATGGGGTCTTGCTTTTGCTCAGGCTGTTCACATACTGGTGAGCTCAGGTAATCCACCTGCCTCAGCTTCCCAGAGTGCTGGGATTACAAGTGTGAGCCACCGTGCTCAGTCCCAGTACATTATTTTAGGGGGATGCATTCAAACACAGCATTCTCACATGCTTTTTGGAGGACACATTCAAATCATAGTACTAACATTTGTTATTTTCCTTTTTTTATTATAAAAATTTTATATATAATTTTTTTTAAATTATAGCCAACTAGAAATGTAGTATTTCATTGTAGTTTTCATTTGCATATCTAATGACATTGAACATCTTTTATGCTTTTTGTTGTTGCAGTTTTTGGCCAGGGTGGGGCTTGAACCTACCACCTCCAGTATATGGGGCCAGCACCCTACTTCCTTGAGCCACAGGCACCACCCTTGAGCATCTTTTATGTACCTGTTGATTATTTGTATATCTTCTCTCCAGTCTTTGATCCATTTTAAGTTAATTTTTTAAGTAGGGATGTTCTATATAAGAATATCCATTTGTTCTACTACCATTTGTTGAAGAGACAATTCTTTCTTTTGAATAGTTTTGGCACCTTTATTTTTGACCGTAGATATATGAGTTTATTTCTGGACTCTTCTATTCTACTCCACTGATCTATTGATCCTATGCCACTGCTTTGATTACTGTAGCTTTGCCATAAGTTGAAATCAAGAAATGTGAGGATATTCCTTTTATAAGGGTCAGGAGTCAGGAAGGCAACATGACAGCTAAGGTGACAGCATGAATACAACACGTTGGTCAGTGGTCTACCAGGAGAGCAGGTCCTCAGGAGTGAGCAGCCAGGCTTTCTTTGCTGACCCCCAACCCCAAAGCAACAGGAAAGGGCCTAGCCCAGTGCTCCTCCTGACTCTGAATTGGTAGCAGCTACATCTTCCCTCTATACCTGATATAACCAGAAGATCCTCCAGGTGAATCCATCTCTGAGGCCCCAGGGGAGGACAAGCAACCTTCATGGAGGTCTAGCCCCTCACAGGCCTAGGGCTGTGGCCCCCTCTGCTGGAGAAATGCCAAGATGGTGGTCAGGACGCAGCAGCCACTTGGAGAAGTACCTCACAGGGACTCCTGGGGCTCAGTCCCACTTTACCCCCTCTGGCTTCTTCTGTCTATAGTGGTTGGATTGCAGCCCTGTCGACCCTGAAGCAAGAGTCCTTGGCCGTGTCAATCATCATGATGGTGGTAGCTGGCTTCTTCACCCTCTGTGCCGTGCTCTCCCTCTTCCTCCTAAAGCGGGTGAGTAGCAGACACCAGGCCAACAGCAGACCCGAGGAAGCAGGCACCTGCCTCTTGCCTTTACCATGACATTTTCTTCACCACTGCAGCAGGGTCTGGGCCCCTAAAGATGTAGCACCTTTCTTCAAGACCCTAGAGGCTGGGGTCAGGGAGCACTGGGCTTTTAGTGACCCCTCTGGGAGCATAACCTGGACCTCTGCCTCCTTCCCCAGGTGCACTCCCTATACCGCCGGACCGGGGCCAGCTTCCAGCAGGCCCAGGAGGAGTTTTCCCAGGGCATCTTCAGCAACAGAACCTTCCGCAGCGCTGCCTCATCTGCGGCCCGAGGAGCCTTCCAGGGGAATTAGTCCTCGTCACTCTCTTCCCTCTGCCCTAGCCTTTTCTTTCACCTACCTTCTGACTGCACTATACATAGGTGCCTTATATGGTGGTTTTGCCCAGCGTGGACCTGGCAAAGGTATCACAGTGGCTCTTCCTCCTTCCTCAGCAACAAGCTCTCCTTGGAAGAGGAGGGAGTGACAGGGACATTTTTTTACACACACAAAAAAATATCAAAGCTGTCTTTCCTTCTCTAGTGGTGGTTTGGTAGGATTCTTTTGTCTCTCAGGAGGCAGTTCTCTCCCCTTATACACACACAGACATCTCCACACACCTGGGATCACTGGCTGAACTGGGCTCACCCCAGCTGGAGTTTTCTGCCAGGGTCTTATGACTCCACTCCTCCCCCAGCAGGCTAGGCCTGAATCGACCTCCACAGACAGTCTGTGGCTTCCACAGCCCTGCCCTTCCTGCCCAGGCTGGACAAGCCTCCCACAGACTCTACTTCCAGCAGGTTGCAGTCTGGGTGGGTAGATAGCTCTGTTCCCCAGATCAGAGCCCCAGGCTCTCCCCTGCTTCATGTTTCTCATTAACAGATTCACAGCCATTTAGGCACCCTCTGGGGCCCTCTCTGAGCTCTACTTTCTTCAGACTTTCTCAATGTGCAATGCAGTTGGTCAGGATTTGGAGCTAGAACAGGAGGACACTGACCCCCAAGTTATCCTGCTCAGCCTTTGGCAGTCATCCAGGAGGGTGGGGTCTGACTGTCCTGCTATGGTTTGACTTCTGCTCCTGAGAGTCCACTGCCCTGTGCCTTAGCCACGGTTCTCCCCTTCCCCAGCAATATCTGGCCTGTATGACTTAGGGCAATGGAAATCAGTCCAGAGCTACATCCTTTAGGCACGACTGATAACCATCTTTCTGAGTGTTCCCCATGCCCTAAGTCTAGGTCACCTTTCACCCACACTGGGGTGTGTCCCTATGACATGCACCTAGGAGTCCACTGTCAAAACCTGAACCTTGTCCTTGAGAGGCTGCAGGAGTGGATGTGTGGACTGAGGGAACTTCTCACAAAGCTGGCTGGCTGCCTGCCTTTGAGATCTGGGCCCCACCCTGAGGCAGCCCTCAGGCTTTCCCCCCAGCTCAGGCGGGCTTAGAGCCGCTGATTGATAACAGCAGCAACTAGGATTTTGTAAACTCTCTGGTATTTTTTTCTCCATGTACAAATGTATATGTTATGTCTCAATTTTTTGTGCTTAAATAAAAAAGACATTTTCAGACAACATTGGTCCTAATGTCTGGTGGACTTGGGAGGACTTAGTGGTCAGGTAGGGTTGGGACTGAAGTTTTCCTAGGATGGGTGAGAGGGGGACATTAATATGCTCACTGGCTGGTCTGTGACAGGTTGTCTATGAAGCCCTTAACTCAGAAGAGTGAAAGACAGATTGGGAATCTTGGGGAAAGTGACTTTCCAAAGGCACTTTCTTATCCCAGTACCTCTACTTTTAGAGCCACTGTTTTGTTTCTGTTTGGGGGGTTTTTGTTTGGTTGGTTGGTTGGTTGGTTCTTTTAAACAGTCTCTGTCACCTTCGGTAGAGTGCGGTGGCATCTTAGTTCACAGCAACCTCAAACTTTTGGATTTAAGTGATTCTTTTGTCTCAGCCTCCTAGGTAGCTGGGACTACAGCCGCCTGCTGCAACATCCAGCTATTTTTAGAGGCGGTGTGTGTCTGTGTCTGGCTCTTGCTCAGACTGGTCTCCAACTCCTGAGCTCAGGCAATCCACCCTCCTCGGCCTCCCAGAGTGCTAGGATGCCAGGCGTGAACCACCGCGCCCAGCCAGAGCCACTGGTCTTGGGGAGGGACCCCAAGAGACCCCCCTTGATTCTCCCTTGCACTCCACACACCTTCACCGGGTCCTCCTCTCGCCCTCACGTGGCTAGATCTCTAGGCACATCTGCACCTGGCTAAGATTCCTCAGCTGACTGCGTTTGCCGCCCTCAATCACTTCCGTTCGGCTCGCAGGGGCCTCAGTCCCCCTAAGTGGGGCTTGCAGGGATTGATGAGTCCAGTGATTTCCAGGGCGGAGTGGTCCGGGAGGTGCGGGGAAAGAGCCCCGGGGGAGGCGGAGTCGCGCCCCTTCTCAGCGGCCGGCCCCGCCCTCCGCGCCCGGCGCTGCACTTCCGGCGGGCGGCGCTGGGGGCAGCGTGGAGGCAGCAGGGAGGCCGCGCCGCAGCCTGCGCTCTGCCCGCCCCGCTCGCGGCCGGAACGCGCGCCGGCAACCAGGAAGCGCCAGGACGGGGACGGGGCGGCCGGGATGGCGGGGCTGGGTTGGGGTCCCCCGCGCCTGGACGGCTTCATCCTCACCGAGCGCCTGGGCAGCGGCACGTACGCCACGGTGTACAAGGCCTACGCCAAGGTGGGTGTGGGCGGCGCCGGGCACCGGCCCCTGTGCCCGCCAACCCCGAGCAAACCCAAGGGGATGCCGACTAGGGAGACTAGGACGGGTCAGGGACCGCGTGAGAACAGTTAGGGCCAGGCGGCCCACCTCGTCCGGATCTGACCCTCGGTGGAGAAACTGAGCTTCTCTCTTGCATCTTAAAAGCAAACACACCTACACACACCTCTTTTGTCCGAATGGTCAGGTGGAGACCTCAGTGGGGCCTCGGTGTCAGTGGCTAAAGAACAGGCTGAAAACAGGTTGGGAAGCGTCTGGGACAGGACTCTAGAAAGCTGGACCCAGTTAGGAGGCAGAGTGGGCAGTTCTAGAACAGTGAGGTGACATGCCTCTGCGAGGCACTCTAGAATGTGAGGAAACAGGGCTTATGTAGCAAAGGATTGGGAAGCAAGGATTCCAGAATCCAGATGCCTTGTTGGCTGAGAAAGGGAAGTTGGGAAGCCTGGATGCTGGTGAGAAGAGGATAGGCCCAAGGAGGCAGGGGGTTATGGAACCAGAACAACTTCCAGCCAGATATGGGCCCTGGCTCCGTCAAGGCAGATCTTCCAAATCCTCTTCCCCCAGAAGGACACTCGCGAGGTGGTAGCCATCAAGTGTGTGGCCAAGAAAAGTCTGAACAAGGCATCAGTGGAAAACCTCCTGACCGAGATTGAGATCCTGAAGGGCATTCGACACCCCCACATCGTGCAGCTGAAAGACTTCCAGGTGCAGACCTGGGGTGGGGCTACTCCCAAAGGAGGCTGGAGGAGGGACGCTCCCTTCAGGCTGTCTACTCTACTTCTAACCACAGTGGGACAGTGACAACATCTACCTCATCATGGAGTTCTGCGCAGGGGGTGACTTGTCACGCTTCATCCACACCCGCAGGATTCTGCCTGAGAAGGTGGCTCGTGTCTTCATGCAACAATTGGGTAAAAGCCCCTGACCCCAGCCTGACACTCCTTCCTGTGCTTTGTGTGGGCTTAGAGCCTTGGCACACTTCCCAGTTGCCTCATTGGAATTTTAGGGCTGTCTTTCTCATGTGGTTGTCCTTCGCCAGGGATGCCAATTCAGGTATGAGGGAGGAGCCCCTGCCTATGGGGCGGCCTCAGGTTTCCACAGTGTGGAATGTAATATGAGGAGTTTGTGGAAGAAGATTCAAGGCCAAGTGGGTAGGGCCCACATCCAGTGCTAACAAAAAGAGCCAAGATCCTAAAGGGCTAGGGTATTCAGGGAAGCTTCTGGAGGAGGGGAGACTTTTGAAGGGGCAGAGGAGAGGAAAGTGGACACTCTGGTAAGAGTGGCAAACCTTCCAGTGGTAGAAGCCTGGTGCTTTTATGGAAAGCATTCGGTAGAACAGCCAGGCTGAGTTTGGAGCCTATGGCTCAAGTGGCTAAGGCGCCAGCCACATACACCTAAGGTGGTGGGTTCGAATCCAGCCCGGGCCCGCCAAACAACGACAGCTGCAACCAAAAAATAGCCGGGCATTGTGGCGGGCACCTGTGGTCCCAGCTACTTGGGAGGCTGAGACAGGAGACTCACTTGAACCCAGGAGTTAGAGGTTGCTGTGAGCTGTGATGCTATGGCACTCTACCCAGGGAGACAGCTTGAGGCTCTGTCTCAAAAAAAAAAAAAAGAACAGCCAGGCTGAAACAAGGCAGACATAAGCCTGGGGAGATGAGAGGCAGGCGGGACCTGGGCTCCTCTGACCTGTTTCTACATGGGTACTGCTCCCCAGCTAGTGCCCTGAAGTTTCTGCATGAACGGAATATCTCTCACCTGGATCTAAAGCCACAGAACATTCTGCTGAGCTCCTTGGAGAAGCCCCACCTGAAATTGGCAGGTCTGAGTCCAGAACAGCAGGGATGAGGTTTGGAGAGTGGGTATGTAGGGATGTCCCTGTGCCTGGACTCACTCAGCAGCCCTGATTCTTATGGAGTCCTCTATTGGGTCATCAAACAGTAATAGCCTGGGCAATTCAGGAATGAGCCCTGTCACCAAAAGGTAGGACCTTTCTCAGGCTACCCACACTCAAGTCCAGCAGCTAATGGGTGGAGTTCAGGCTCAGTCTGTGGCCAGAGTTGGGACTGTGTGTCCAGGTTTTGATCTCAGCCTGGGAATGGTACCAGGGTTCAGTATGGACCAGGATCACAGATCAGTCTGTGATCAGGATAGGACTTGGTCTGTCATCAAGATTGGGGCTCGACTGTTGACTCTTATCTGTGGCAGCACAGGGTGGTATGTGGTGGTTTGTACCCTCTGATAAGATTTGGGCAAGAGGGTACAGTGAGAAGGTGGAGGCCCTTGTCTATGTGGCTAGTTTGATCAGTGGGCTTCCTGGGGAAAGGGTGCCTGAGGGGGCTGCACAGGCTGGTAGGATTTATAGCCCCAGAGGGAGACATATGAGGGGGTTCCAGGCCGATGAACACAGGCTAGAAAGCAGGGTTGATCATGGTGTGGCTGGGGGTGGAGAGGAGCCCAGGGTGTGGCGTCACAGGCCAAGAGTGGAAGCAGCTGGAATTTGAGCCCTGCTGTCTGATTTCTTGCCTGCAGACTTTGGCTTTGCGCAGCACATGTCGCCCTGGGATGAAAAGCACGTGCTCCGTGGCTCCCCCCTCTACATGGCCCCAGAGATGGTGTGTCAGGGACAGTACGACGCCCGTGTGGACCTCTGGTCTGTGGGGGTCATCCTTTATGGTGAGATCTCTTTTCCCTGCCCCTGACCTGGAGGCCTGCCCTGTGCAGCCTCAGACAAGGCTTCTCTGGGCCTTTCTTAGAGGGTTCTAGTGAAATTCTGACTCTACTGGCACTGGGGAGTGTCAGGCCCCCTCCCCAGGAGTGGGCAGGGCCAGGCTCAACCCCAAACCCTCCAGCATCCCCTCTACTTCTCTTCCACAGAGGCCCTCTTCGGGCAGCCCCCCTTTGCCTCCAGGTCATTCTCAGAGCTGGAAGAGAAGATCCGCAGCAACCGGGTTATAGAGGTGGGTCTGGCAGAGCCTTAGTGGCCACTGGGGGCTGAGGGAGCCAGGGCCTGAGGTGTCAGACCACACTCTCACCTGCACAGGGCACCAAGACGGCCTTCCTGGTAGTCAGGTACTCTCTGGACTGCAGGTCCCAGGGATTCAGCTTAGCCCACAACAGGCAGCAAAGGGTCTGCCCCACAGACTGTTTCCCCTATGTCACAGATTCTCCCCTTGTTACACATGTATCTCTGGGGTTTCTGACAGAACCCTAGGCTGGGTGCTGTGGGGCTAGAGCCCAGTGTGACCTTTACCCATCCTTCCCCGCTCTGCAGCTCCCCCTGAGGCCTTTGCTCTCCCGAGACTGCCGGGACCTGCTACAGCGGCTCCTGGAGCGGGACCCCAGCCATCGCATCTCCTTCCAAGACTTCTTTGTCCACCCCTGGGTAGACCTAGAACACATGCCCAGTGGGGAGAGCCTGGCAAAAGCAGTGAGCAGGGCCATGGAGACGGGGTGGGCTGGAAGTAGGTTGGGGATCTCATTTGCCCCCTTTGGTGGTGATGGGTGACTTCACCTAGCAGAGGCAGCTGATCTTCCCTCGTCCTGGTAAATGAGGGAGAGTAGGAAAGTGGACCTGATTCCTGATCTGCCTGGCCCCCAGACTGCGCTGGTGGTGCAGGCTGTGAAGAAGGACCAAGAGGGGGATGCAGCGACCGCCTTATCTCTCTACTGCAAGGCTCTGGACTTCTTCGTGCCTGCCCTGCACTGTGAGTCCTAGGTTGTGCCTGGAAACCCTGGGTGCAGCAGGCCGGGTCATCTATAGCTGCAGTGGATGGATTCCAGAAGTTCCCCATCCAGAATTTTACAGAAGACAAAGCAGAGCATAGACCTGGAACTTGGTGTTTGGGGAATTCCAGAGGGTTTGTGTGGGGCAGGGCTCCCCAGACTCCTCACGTAAACCCTACCTTCTGCAGATGAAGTGGATGCCCAGCGGAAGGAGGCGATTAAGGCAAAGGTCAGTGGGTAGAGTCCCCATGAGGAAATGAATGCGGGTGAGGGCCCACGGGCTCTCTGGTGAGTGGCTTCTTTTGTCCCATACATAGATCTGGGAAGGTGGTAGGCCAACCTTATTTGACCTTGACATCTTTATAGCTTGGGACAGTCATGGAGGACTCAGAGGGAGAACTTGGCAGTGAGTGCTGGTGAGGGAGGAGGATGAGGCAACCCCTTCTGAGGCCCTTTCCCTTCTACAGGTGGGGCAGTACGTGTCCCGGGCTGAGGAGCTCAAGACCATCGTTTCCTCCTCTAATCAGGCCCTGCTTAGGCAGGGGACATCTGCCAGAGAGCTGCTTAAAGGTAGGCTCCATTTCCTGGCTGGCCTGTCAACTCCTTAGTAAACCTCCTTGCAGCCCAACTGGATGCAGGTCGAGATAGGCCTTCTGTGGTGACACACCAAGCTGCTTCCCTCCCCCTGAGCATTTGTCCCCTCATCCCAGAGATGGCCCAGGACAAGCCACGCCTCCTAGCTGCCCTGGAAGTGGCTTCGGCTGCCATGGCCAAGGTTGGTGCCAGTGGGAGGAGTCCTGGTGGAGTAGGGAGGGATTCAGGTTGTGACCCTAAATGACTTGGTGTCATGTGGCTGTAGGAAGAGGAAGCTGGCCGGGAGCAGGATGCCCTGGACCTGTACCAGCATAGCCTAGGGGAGCTACTGCTGCTGCTGGCAGGTGAGCCCCACCCCCCATGCCCCATGGGGCCCTCCGCTGCCGTGCCCTCACCACATGCTCTCTATTTTCAGCGGAGCCCTCAGGTCGGAGGCGGGAGCTGCTTCATACTGAGGTGCTCACTGGGGATATGAGGGTTGGAGGGGCTTCCTCTTCCACTTCTACCCTTCTCGTATCTGGGGGGAACCTCCTTGGGTTCCCTCTGGGATTCCCTACCCTCAGGGTGTTCCAGGCCTAGAAGTCAAACCATTAGGGCTCAGGTGCTCAGATCAGGGCAATGGAGGATCTGGTAACCCAGCAGCAGAGCATCTACTGGGCTGTTGTAGTCAGGAAGGCTTTAGAGCAGATAAGGGACTCGGAGATTGCTCTAATGGGGTAGGGGGTTCTGGAGAGCATCAGGACTGTGGAAGAGTTCAGTTGGAAGCCCCCACACCCCCCCAAGGGCATGTCTTCCCTCAGCAGGTTCAGAACCTCATGGCTCGAGCTGAATACCTGAAGGAGCAGATCAAGGTGGGTCCCAGGAACCATGTTGGGGGCAAGGGCTGTGGGTTCTGCTCCTCTCTGCTTGTAGCTGTCTGTCCCCGAATCTCCATCCCATGTCTGTTCTTCACACTTTCGTTGCTCATCAGCTGTTGGGTGTGACTCCTGTGTCTGTGGCTGCCTCTCACCCCTTGTGCCGCCTTAATGTCCCACAGATGAAGGAGTCTCGCTGGGAAGCAGAGACCCTGGATAAAGAGGGGCTGCTGGAGTCTGTTCGTAGTTGTGAGTCCTGCCCTGGGGTCCGGCCCTCCCTCCAAGGGAAAGTGAAGCCTAGGGGGTGGCCCTGGACACTGCCTCTCTTGCCAGGCCTGAGACTGACCCTGTCTTACCCCTCCATAGCGTGTACCCTGCAGTGACTCCAGAGGATGAGTGGACAGACACGAGCTGCCTGGAGTGGAGGGGTGCACTAACTCAAGCTAATGTCCCAAATTAAGTGGTCCTCTGCAACCCTGGGGAACAGGCTTCTTTAATGGGCAGCTATGAGACCCTCATATCCCAGGTCCCCAGAGGGGCTGACAGCCCAGTTGTATGCTAGGAACCCTGGCCCCAGGGGAAGGGGCAGGATTCGGGGAGAACAGTATTTCCTTCATGAGATCTTTATTATTTGAGGGTTGCAGAGCATGAAATCTTCTATCATTTTTTTGCTCAAGAAGAGGATAAGCAGCACCCTGCAGGGCACTTCTGCTCCTGCCTTTTCCCTGCTAGCCAGCAACCATGCCCTGGGCCCACTGTTCTGAGATCCCTTATTCCAGCTTACCTCCATCCTTGCACTGAAGTGGATACTCCAAGACCCCCCCCAAGGGGCCACCCAGCCCACAGTATGCACTCAGCCCCATAGAACTCACAACCCCTGATCATTGTGAGTGGAATATAAGTATACTGAATATATAGCAGGAAATTAACTTTGTAAGAACTAAGAAAACAAATTATTAAGGAATGCCGTATAAAAGTTTTTGGATTAGAAAAAAAAAGAACTCGCCACCCTTCCTGGAAGCTCACGTTTGTCCACCAGTCTCAGTACTTTAAGTTAATCCTTCAAGCATGACAAATAATATCCTTTATAGGAGTGGGGCAAATTTGAGAAGCCCATGCCTTGTTCCATGGCCTGGGGAGCATAGGGGAAGGGTCCTCAATCCTCTTCCCTCCCACCTTCATTCCTCTGTGGGAACACACCACAATAGTGCAGAGTGAGCTTTGCACTGGAATTTGGGCCTGGATGGGGGACACCTGGGGACTGCCTCATTCATCAGGCTACAGGTGACCCAGTCCATGATGCCCAGTTCTGGGCCTGGATCTCCCCCTTCTCCAGTAGGAATGCTGTACCTCAGCAACATGAGTGCTTCTGAGGACAAAGTGAATTAAACCTGTACATACCTAGAGTGTACATACCTACAGTTATTTAGGGGTATCTTTTAAATGGTCAGAGAGGTGTTGATAACTTTTAACCCTTCTATCCTTAAATGCCTCCTTGGGGCAAGAGTTTATCCTCCCTAAAGGAGGCTAGGTGTAAAAACTGTTCATTGTTTCTCTATTAAATTATTTTCTGTACTTGTGTACCTCTTACTGCTCTGGGAAAAAGAGAAAAGGTAGCTGCTGTCCACAGGCTGGGATGAGAGGGACCACCCCAAAAGCAGGAGAGGCTGGGGGAGGTCACAGGGTGGTGCTATTGGAGGGTGGTAGCCACATCTGCATCCTGCCCTCAGTTCCCGGCATCTGGGAGAGTCAGGTTGACCAGCCACCATCTGTGGGGAGAGGCGCACAGACCTGAAAGCTGGGAAAGGCTTTCCCTTTGCAAGAGTGCAGTCTAAAGTCTGTGTCCCAGACCGGGTCCCCTGGCCTTCCACTTCTGTTGCCCTGACCTATAGAGAGCAGTAGGCCAGATTGGAGAAAAGGGCATCATTTGGGGTATCATGCTCATACCCAGCTCCCAAGGTCCCCCCTCAAGGTGGGATCATTTTCAGCAGGCTCTGTGCCCAGGTCTTCCCTGCTCTGACTTCGAGGTGTCAGTCTGATCAGCACTTGAGAGCATACCTGGGGACTTATGGGTGGGAGAACACATCTCTAGCCAGCAAGGACCGGGTCCTTAGACTTAACCAGTGCTCATCTTCCATAGGCACATCAAAGGCTTTCTGACACCAGGAGGGGAATAGACCCTGGGAAGAAACTAATCTTGCTGAAGCCCAGGCCTGGCCACTGAGGGTGGGGGAAGTAGCATGGAGCAGAAGGAGTCACAGAAATCCTGGTTCTGCTATTTGGCCTTGAAGCTTAGGGACCCATTGATACCCTGTTTCTCTGTAACACGAGGATGAAGATAAATGCCCCACGTGAATTTGTTTTGTTTTTTTTTTTTTTTTGAGACGGAGCCCCAAGCCGTCCCCCTGGGCAGAGTGCCATGGCATCACGCTCACAGCAACCTCCAACTCCTGGGCTCAAGCGAGTCTCCCGCCTCAGGCCCCCAAGTAGCTGGGACCACAGGCGCCCGCCACAACGCCCGGCCATTTCTTGGCTGCATCCATCATTGTTGTTTGGCGGGTCCGGGCTGGGGATTCGAACCCACCACCTTAGGTGTATGTGGCTGGCGCCTTAGCCGCTTGAGCCACAGGCGCCAAGCCCCCCACGTGAATTTGTAATGAGGTACATGAGCCTGGCACATAGTAAGAATTCAATAAAATGTTATTTTCAGATCTAGGGAGAGAAACATACTTCAGATTATTTCTGGAAATGGGCCAGACAAAAAGCCTCAATGTGGAAAGTGAGGGAAAGGAAAGAGGAATGGATGGAGAAGAAGGTGAAAGGGAGAGTGGGAATGATGGGGACAGGTGGAAGACATGGAACTGAAGGATGACAGGAGAGAGTGTTGGCCACTGACCCTGCTTGTTTGTGATAGCTGGTTGGCTGAGAACAGGGGCCTGAGGTTCTTACACATGTTGGGGTGGTAAGGAGTGGTCCCACAGGAGGACTAGATACAAGAAAGGCCTGGGCATCTGAGGCTGGTGGAGGAACCCCTGGAAAGTGCCCCTCCCTGGGCAGAGCACTTGGATGGCTCCTAGGCTGGACCTGTGGCCAAGCAGGGAGGCAGCCCAATTGAAGGCTGGTACACAAGAGGACACAGGCTATCTGTACAGGGCTCTCTTCTAATGGCAGAGGCCAATAGAAAACATGCAAATCAATTTTTCAAAAAGTATATTTTTCCTTTTAGGAGCAGGGCTTTCCACCTCTCACCTTCAACACTTTGAAAGTACCCAAAGCAGGGCAGATACTGCCCTCCTCCCCACCTCTCACCATTTTCAGGAGACCTTCCCCTTCCCTGTCCTCCCCACGTCCACTTAGTCCCCTAAGCTCAGAGCCTGTACTGAGCCATGCTGGGAGAGCACCCAAGCCTGGGCTTCTGTGTCTCCTGTGGCACCACCGCTAGGAGAAACAGATGGCCTCTGGAGCAGATTGAGAGACACAGCTGTCCCTGTGCCCAGTCTGCCCCTTCTTAGACCTACTGGGGATTCAGGAAAGAACATCAAATCTTTGTTCCTGCAGGAGGTCATGTGGAAAGCCTGTCCCCAGAGGCCAGGTTGTTGTCCCCACCTCTGAGGAGATGGGCCAGCACTGATGAGGGAATGGGCACACCAGTGACCACTGTCACCCAGAGTAGCTCACACTCACACCCATACGTTTGAAGTCCTACAGGCACACAGGACATGGATAAGGTGCAAGCTCACAGAGCCTGCAGATCCCATAGACAGTTATAGCGGCATATACACAGCTCTTGCTGAGCGTGGCTGAGCAGCCATGACAATACTGCTGCCTCGTGGACCCAGGCCACCCTGGCTCCCCTGCCCTCCCCAAGCCTCACACAGTCTCTGGGAACAGCTCTACCTGGAAGGCACAGGGCTAGAGGCACAGCAGTGGGCTCTGTGGCTCCCCACCCCCAGCCCAGCTTCTGGTGTGCAGCAGCAGGACAGAAGCTCCTAATAGGGCTGAGCGTTAGCTGGGTCAATAGGCCTGTCAGCAGCTCGGCTTAGCAAAGAACATGCCCCAGATGTCCCCGGTGCCTGCCTGGGGCCTCCAGTATCTGAGGAGGGACCATCTGGCTGTGGAGAGGAAGGCAGATCCTCAGTGCTGCAAGCCCTGGTCACCCTCTCCGGTTCCTCCCTGGGAACCACCTGGCCCTGGGAGAGTCACTTGTTATCTCGTTATCTCCGCACCTTTCTTCCCACTGGGAGCTGGGCCTGAGATCTCTGGGTGGGTGGGAGGCAGGACAAGAGGACTACTGGCTCCTTGGGCAGGACTCCCTGAAGCTCTTTGTGCTGTGGAGCCAGAGCCCCTGAGGATGAGGGGTGGAGAACAGGTTAGCATCTTTCCTCCCTCATTCTCTGAAAGAGTCTGAGAGTTGGAGGGCTTTTTCGCCACCTTTTGATACTTCCTGCATCCTCAGACTGCCTGCAAGGTGAAGAAGAAGGAAAGGCTGGGCGCCAAGGCTCACGCTTGTAATCCTAGCACTCTGGGAGGTTGAAGTGGATGGATTGTCTGAGCTCACGTGTTCAAGACCAGCTTGAGCCAGGCGTGGGCAGTGCCTGTGGCTCAAAGGAGTAGGGCACCGGCCCCACATGCCAGAGGCGGTGGGTTCAACCCCCCCCCCACCTAAAACTGCAAAACAAACAAGCAAACAAAACAAACAAACAAACAAACAAACAAAAAACAGCCAGGCGTTATGGTGGGTGGCTGTAGACCCAGCTACTTGGGAGGCTGAGGCAAGAGAATCACTTAAATCCAAGAGTTTGACATTGCTGTGAGCTGTGATGTCATGGCACTCTACCAAGGACAGCATAGTGGGACTTTCTCAAAAAAAAAAAGAAGAAAGGAAGAGAGAAAAAGAACAGTAGGGAGAGAGCAAAGAAGGAAGGAGTGGGCCCAGCCTCAGGGTCCAAACTATACGGCACAAATGTGGGGGGTTGAGGCACTGTGAAAAGGGAAGTTTGGGTGGCTTCGTGGCCTTCCCATCACACCAGATTGGTGGACCAGTAACAGAGCATGTTGTCAGACAGTAGAAGCAGGATAGGAAGGGTGGTGTTGCATCCAGGGCCTGGGGGCTTGGAGCTGGGGGTGGGTATAGACAAGGGGGTCCACTTGAATCAGTCAGCCCCCAGCTGAGGGCATGGTGCAGGAAAGCTCTTGAGCCAGGTATGAGGCAAGGGTGAGGGGACACAGATGAGAGGGGCACAGGCTGATGGAGAGGGGGAGCAAGAGGGGCAGCCCAAGAGGCCAGTGGAGCTGGGAGCCCTCAGCCTGCAGGCATTGCCCATCTCTGCGTGTGTCTAGAACAGGCTCCTTCTGCCCCAGAGCTGCCATCACCTCATTCCAGCCTTCCCTAGTTCCTGACCCTGGGCCCCAGGCAGCCCTGCTTTGACAGGGTTCAGTGAATTCTGTCTCCCAGTCTCCTGCTGCTGCCACCCCTGCCTCTCCCTCTCAGCCCTGCAAAGCGCTGAGGGAGAAGGGGTCTGTCCAATCCCATTAGGCAGAAGGCCCTGGAGGGTGGATTGCTGACGTGGGCCTTGCTGCTGACGCTGCCGAGGCAGCCTATGACCCACCCACCTCTAGCTTGGGGCTCTGGCTTGGGTCTCCTCCAGCTCTGGAGAAGGTCAGGAAGCAGCCTGGGGACAGCTCAGAGGCTGAGGTCCCTTCTCTGGATGCTCAGGAGAACAAGACCAAATATGACAGCCCAAGCAGCATGCCCCAATCCCGGGCCCGTGTCCCCCTCCCTGCCCTCTCCCCTGTCCCACCCCCACATTACCTAGTTCATGGGTTTTGTGTTCTTTGTCCTTACTTTACAAAGGAGACCTAATGGAAACTTTGTCCTCACCCCAAGTCCTCTGATGGCTATTCCTGCCTATAAATCTTGGCTGGTTTCCCCACAGGCCAGTGCTTCAGCAGCAAACCAGGGCCCCAAACCCTAAGGGGGTACCTTGAGCTGGCCTGTAGCACCTTCTTCCTGCCCAGGCCCCTGGGATAACCTGCTTGGGGAGCTTCCTGGCTGGTTTCTTGGATACACCCTCTCTACCTGCAGCCTCTGCCACAGGTGAGCAGGATGAGATGTAGGTTCTTCATTTCTTTAAAGAATTAGTTACCATTTATTGATATGGCCTATCACATGCCTAAGGCTTTATAAATGGTCACCCTTTGAAACAATATTATTGTTACTCAAGTGTAGGAGATGTGGAACTCTTCATTTGACAAGGAGCAAAATAGGCTCAGAGAGGGAAAGGATCTGTTCAAAGTCACACAGCTATGCTGGGCTGGAATGCAGTTTCTCTGCCTTCTTTTTACATCTTCCATCTCCGAGGTGACAGGGGTATAGGAAAAGGTGCCAGAGACAGCTGTAGTTGAGCCTAGCCTGCCACTGTGGTCTCAGCAATGCCCCATGTATGGCACCATCCGGCTGGCTGCCACAGCCTCCTCAAAGTCCAGGGTCATGGCCCCAGACCCCTCCCTTTCCCAGGGCCCTGAGAGGATAGGGCTTGAGCATCTTACAGGGGCTGGCGCCAGGAGGGGGTCCACATAAGACATTTCCACTCCTAGCACCAGGTGTCCCCCTCTCTTGAAGCTCCAGATAAGGACGTAAAGAGCACACCTCCATGGCAGGCTATGAACTCCACAATCCTGGAAGTCAGTCAGATGTGGGAAGATAGGCACATCATTTGGGATTTTTATTTTTCACTGAGCTAGGAGAGGAGATTCCAGCTATAGAATCCAGAAGAGAGTTCTATAGGAACAGAATAAAAATTGGCTGGGCCCTGGGCCCAGAGAAGGCCTGGAGCTGTCTGGGCTACTGTTCGGTGCCAGCTTCTTCCTTGGCACTACACCCCTTGCATGGCGTCACTTGGCTCCCAGAGCCCCCAGTGGCAGCTACTGGAGTCTATGGCTACAGCTGCTGCCCTGCCCAAGGAGGGGTGTGGGCTGGGCTCTGCGAGGCCAGGGAGGCCAAGCCAGAAAGAATCTTAGAAATTATCCAGTCTATTCCCATCTTACAGATGATGAAATGAGGCCCAGAAAGAGCAATGACTTTCAAGGACAATAAAGGTAGAAGCTTGAACTCAGGCCTCTTGTCTGCTGAGAGCATCTGTCCAAAGTCCTCTGAGAGTATCTGAGTATCGGTGTCTGGAGGCACTGGGTACCCAGGGGAGCTGGACTTTGCGTACGTGTCTGTGTGTGCCAGGATGCATCTGTGGCTTATGCCTCTGCTCATGCCAGAGTTTTTGTATCCTCTGTGAGTCTCTATGGGTCCTCCTTGTATGCAGGAACTTGGGGCCATGGCACAGAGAAATGGGCCTAATCCTACAGTCTTAGGAGGCTGCACAGGCTAAGTATAGGGAGTGGATCCTGAGGGGCAGGGTGAGGAATGGGGACGTTGCTTCCAGTGGAGAGGGAGGGGCCCAGAAGGCAAGCTTGGGGTACGGATGAGAAGGGTTCTGGGGCTCAGGTAGGGCAGGGAACACAAAGCCCCACATTGAGTATGGGCCCCTAGAAGTTGAGACACACTCTTGGCCCTCATGTGGGCCCAGCCCCCTGGCCATCCCAGTGGGCAACTCCAGGGAAGTGGTCACATGATGTGGCACTTCTCAGCTGATTGCTTGAGGTCCCCCAGCGTGGCCTGGGCCTTGTCCTTGAGTGAGCCAAGGTCCAAGCCAGGGAGGCTGGCCAGCTGCCCGAGGACCGAGGCCCTCTCTTCCTCCTCCTCTGTGTCCTCCTCAATCATCTTGGCCAGCTCCCGGGGCAGCTCCACGTCTCCACCTGCCATCTGGATCTGGCTCTCATCTGTCTCGTTCTGAAGAGAAGAGGTGAGGGGGTGGTGGTGGTGAAGGTTTGTGAGGACCCAGAGTTGAGCGGGGAAAGGGAGGCCCAGACTGAGTTCCCAGGCCTCTAGATTCTTGAACCCCATATTCCAGTGAGCTCACCCCCTACCCTCCCATCCCAGGATCAAGTATTTGATGATTGGACATAGAGACCTTGCACATTTATCTCATCTTAGTTCACTCTGAGATTCTGAAGGACTATCACAGTGCATAAAGACAAAGTAAAAGGACCTGGGAGTCACACTGTTACAGTCAGCTCGTCATGTATTGACTATAACCAGCAATAATGATGGGAACCATTTATCAAACATCTATTAAATGTCAGATGCCGAACTGAATGATTTTAATTCTTAGTGTAATATTGCTATCTTTACTTCACAAATAAGGAGATTGAGGCTCAGATAACTTAAGCAAATACTTTAAGTTACTTATGTTACTTAAGTAACTTAAATTGCCCAAGGTGTCAAAATGTGGAAACAACCTAAATGCCCACCAACCCAGGAATGGATTAACAAGCTGTGGTATATGTATACCATGGAATACTATTCAGCCATAAAAAAGACGGAGACTTTACATTTTTGGGGTTTTTTTTTTTTTGAGACAAAGTCTCAAGCTGTCCCCTTGGGTAGAGTGCCATAGCATCATAGCTCACAGCAACCTCCAACTCCTGAGCTCAAGTGAGTCTCCTGCCTCCACCTCCCAAGTAGCTGGGACCACAGGCGCCTGCCACAATGCCTGGCCATTTTTTGGTTGCAGCCGTCATTGTTGTTTGGCGGGCCTGGGCTGGATTTGAACCCACCACCTTAGGTGTATGTGGCTGGTGCCTTAGCCATTTGAGCCACAGGCTCCAAGCCGACTTTACATCTTTTGTATTAACGTGGATGGAGTTCAAACACATTCTTCTTAGTAAAGCATCACAAGAATGGAGGAGCAAGAATCCAATGTACTCAATACTAATATGAAGCCAGTAGATGAGCTAATACACCCCCACATAAGAGGAAAACTAAATTCAAGGTGGGTGTGGGAGAAAGAGGGGGCAGGGAGAGAGGAGGAGGCAGGGGGATGGGTGTACTCTTACTTAAAGGGCACAATGTTAGGGTGTATGGCATACCTCTTGGGGCCTGGAGATCATTATAAGAGGGACTCTACCTAATAAATGCAAACATTGTAACTTTATTCTTTGTACCCTCAAATTAACCTGAAACAATAAATAAATAAATAACACAACTAAGAAGTGGGAGAACTAGAATTAAACCTTGTCACTTATTCCAATATCTGTCCTTTCTTTGCATGGCAGCTACTGACGGCTATTGCATTTCCCTTCCCTCTGGGGGGCCTTGGGCTTTCCACTTTGTGTCCTACTCAGCTGCATCCAAGTCTTGCCTCATCTATTGGACTCAAGAGTTCCCTGATGTTGGGAATTGTATCTCCTAAATATTTAGTGCAAGCATCCATCCGTAGGTGAGTTTGCAGAGAGGCAGGCTTTCTGGACTAGTTTCCCCTTTGAGAGACTTCCAAAAGACTGGTGCCCTATGTGGAATCAGAGGCAGCCGGGGCTCAGTAAATATTTGTTCAATAAGTGAAGGTGATGTTCACAATTCAAGTGAAAGATCAGGTCAGGAGTGCTAGAGCACTGTACTTATATTTTCCCCTCAGAGGCTAGCACAGTTCTGGGCACACTATTCTGGGAGTGACTTGTGCTTGAGTTCCCTCCTTAGGCAAAAGGAGCAGCCACCATGTCCATCAGGTGCTGCAGTCCATCAGGGGGTGCATAGAAGCAGGGGGCTCCTGGGACAAGCTCCCTGGCTGCTTGGCCCTCCAAGGGGGGTACTTTGCTCTCTGCAGGCAGACTCCATACCCTGGAAAGCAGCCTGGGGTCCTGGAGCAAGTGCAAGCTCAGTTATTGACAGGCTCAGGGACTAACCCCAGCTCCATGGCTCACTGGTTGTATGACCTTAGTCAAGTCCCTTAATCTCTCCAAGCCTCAACTGGGTCATTTGTAGATGTGGGTGATAGCTACCTGGCAGCATTATTGGGGTGTTAGGTGAGGACCTGAAGGTCAAATATGTGGCACAAAGACAAGGTGTGGTCTTCTCTCCCCACCCTTACTTCCATGTATGTTCAGAAGCCCTAAGAGCACTGATTCCTGCAGTAAAGTCTGTTTTCCAAAATCACTCACTCCTTGTAAAATCTACTGCTTTCTGGGGTTGGGGAAGTGGGGGGTGGAGGAAAGAAGAGGCTTGGATCAGCTCCAGGAGCACAAACCTGTCAGTGCCTGAGAACTGGGCTTGCCTCAGTGCCAAACCCTGGTCTTTGGCAGAGGGTGGTTAATTGTAAGTTAATGAATGAATGGAAAAGTGAATGAGTGAGAGAGGGACAGGATTTAACCAAGCTCCCTATGAGTCTTAGAGCTGAGAACTGCAGTGTCCAGACTGGGGTGAAGAAAACTCGGAGTTGGGAGTTCAAGGTCCTGGTTGCACCTTGTAGCCATGGCCAGCTTACCTTGGGCAGCCGGTATTTGTCTCGGAAGTGGCTCCGCAGTGTGGCCCGCTCTGCCTTCCTCTGTGTGAATTGTGCATCCCGCTCCATCCTGTGGGGACACCAGGGATAGAGTCACTGTGAGGGCAGAGAGAAGTGGGGGTCTGCAATGGAAGGTATCGGGGTCTTTGAATACCGGCAGCTGTTGCATTGGTCTCTGTATGTAGCCAGCCTGGGTATCATGAGGGTGTAACCCAGCCAGCCTAGGTTAGTCTGTGTTGGCTCTCACCCATCACAGCACCCTATAGCTTCATCTCTGTACCCGCTGCTGGTCTGAGCCAGGAGGGAAGGGGTATCAGTCTGGTTGGCTCTCTTTGCAGACCCTAATATTTGTCCCCTCTGACTCCATCTTTCTTTCCCTCCCTCCCTGACAAGCTGTGTTATGTAGGGAAGTTATTAGAGATAAACTTGGGTTCTCCCAGCTACATTACCATTTTAGGTATGTCCTGGGGTAAGACACTCACTTTCCTCTTCTGTAAAATGGGGATAAAGATTTTGCAACTTGCAAAACTGTTATCAAGATTAGGTGAAATAATAGTTACCATTTGTGAAGATTTACCAACTTCCAGGTGCTGTGCTAAACAGTTTACATGCACTTTCGTTTAATCTTTATAAATATATAAGGCATAGATTATGATTACTATCTCCACTTTCCAGAAAAGGAAATGGAGGCACAGAAAGGTTAACTTGCCTAAAGTTGCCCAGCTAATAAGAATCTGAGTAGTCTAGCCCTACCCCTAACTCTGCTCCCGTTTCCTCTCTGTCCCAGCCCTGATGGCACACAGCCTCAGTATCTATGAGTGCCCCCATCTCAGGATCTATCTCCGTGATTCTGAGCCCCTCTGGCTGCAGCACTTTTCTAAGATCCTCAGGCTCAGAGGAGCTCCAGTTGGAAGACATAGGCGGCTGGGACCAGATCGGATTAAAGGATTACTGGCTTGTCAGAAATGCACGTGCACCCCCTCTCCCCAATCCCAGGCTCCATTGCCCCTGCCCCCACTCCCCCTTGGCGAGAGTATGAAGCTGGAGCTCTGTTCTTAGTTTGAGACGGGGTGGGTCTGGGGGCAGCCCAGAGGACACCTCCCAGACTCTGACTGTGTCTAGGAAAGTAGAGAAGGGGAGATTGGAGCCTGACGCCGGCTCAGGGGTGGGCAGAGAGGCCGCGTGAGTGTGTGCGGGGTGGAGGGGTCGGTGGAGCCAGGAAGGGATCCCACTCACTTCTCTTCCACCAGTTGCTTCTGATACTCTTCATACTCCTCTCTGCTCATGCCCTGAGCTTCCGCCGCCGACTTGTCTCCGTCCCCCTTGTCCTCGCCGCCCCCCAGGCTCCCGGTGAGGTTCTTCAGCTGGCCGCCCACCATGGTCTTCACCATGAACGCCATGGTCTTCGCTGGCCCGGGCCCTGGGCGCCTGGTACCACGCTCCAAGCACCCAGCACGTCCTCACCTAGTTCAGCACTGGGGCTCGCGGACAGCTCCCGCCGCGGGCCCGCGCCCCACGCTTTGCACCGCCCGCCGCCCGCCCCCGCCTGGGCCCGCCCCCACCTCCCCAAACCCCTCCTCACGGGGGGCGGGGGGCATGCACGGGGCTGAGAAGGCTGGACCACGTGCCCGCTCTCCGCTCCCGCCTCCCCCACGTGCCTCCATCAACGCCAAGCTCCACTGGGCACTGCTGACAGCGGATTAGGGCCTGCGGTTGTGGGGTCGCTCCACTGGGGAAAGGGGCTGAGCTCATACACGTCTGGAGCCCTATTCACTACCCTCCTCCAACTTTCTTCTCTCCTGGGTCAGTGAGAGCCAGGATTTCAGCTGGAAGATCTGGGCAGCAGCTAGGGGTAAAAATCCAGGTGGGCCCCATCCCATTCTCTCCCAGCTCCCCCCACCCCCAACGCACTGAACGCAGCAGCTGCCCAAAGAGCTTGACGCTGGGAAAGGGAGGGAGACCGAGGGCTAGAGCCGGAATCCCGGTTATGGTTCCATGAGTTGGCCTTTCAGAGTTCCTCTGTCACGCGCCTGCCCTGCTGCCCCTGGAGCGGCAGAGGGTGGGGGTAGGGGAGTTGTTCAGTGATGCTGGCAGGGCCCGGGCATGAGGGACACTGGGAGACACTGCTCCTTGTTCTGGGTGAATTTGTGGACAAAATTAGACAGAGTTATGATTTCCTTTCCCTCTGAGGTCCAGGGCTCAAAGCCTATGGGATATCTGGTCTTTTGGTCTCCTTGACTAAGCAGAGCCCACTCCCAGCTTCCCACCCAGAAGAGGTGGAAGGCTTCACAGAGATTAAGGTGAAGTTGGAAGGTAAATGAGCATATCAAAGCACAGGCAAAGGGACATCACCTTTAATCTGGCGGGAGGTCACCAAAACCTAAGGTGTGGGGAGGAGCTGAGCCCCAGAGACAGAGGGTGCTAGTCAGGCCCTCTTCCATCCCCCAGACAACTGCCTGCTTCTGGGGGGTCAGGCATGCATGCCAGGAGGTAGGGGCTGCCTCCTCAGAGCCCCTAGCGACCGAGGGATGTGTGCTGCCGAGCTCAGGGGAAGACTGCTTGTGGACAAACACTCCTGAAGGCTCTTGTCCAGCTCCTGTCTGCTGCCAGAGACAGAAGGTTACTTGGGTCTCTTCCTTCTGGGCTTTTGAAACCAAGACTCTCACAGTGGCCTGACTACACTCACTGTGCCACAGTCTCCCCTGCTCTGGGACCTTCTATGTCTCCTTTGACCTGCTACAAAAGATCCACACTTTCCTGCTGGCATTTAAGGTTTGCGTAGGTGGCTTCAGGCTGACTGCCACCCCTGCATTCCTATGCATGTGCATAGTCTGTGATCATTTCCACCTTGTGCCTTTTAAAGCTTAGCACATTTCAATCCTCCTCCAGGACCATCCCAGCCTACATGACTCTTCTTGTCTTGAAATTCCACCAGGAAGGACCATCAGACCCATCTGTGAGGATCTTAGCACAACTAGGTCTCTAGATGGTGCACATTCATTTAGCAAATACTCACCAAGCAAAAATAGTGACCACCTCACCTTTTCAATTCTCTTTGCCCAATTTCACAAACTGAACTCGCCACTTTTCCTCTGAAATAAGTTTTCCCCATGCCTCTATGCCTTTTCTCATGCTGCTCCCCCCATGCCTTTACATATCCTGTTAGACTGGAAAACTAGTCACCTTGATGACCCATAGCAAATATCCCTTCCAGGCCAATTCCCTGGTCTCCTCAAGCTGGATTGTTTTCTCCTGCTCTCCTATAGCCCTTGAGCTTCCTCCCATCATAGCACTGACTGGGTGATACTGTCAGTTACTTGTCAGTCTCACACTCTATAGAGTGAGCTCTGGGAGGACAGGACCTAGATGGAGCTGGAGGCTGAGTATGTTCCTGGTGAAAGAATGGGTCCTAGCTTGCACTGTGCTCTTTGCCTTTTGGGGACTGGGCAGGCCTCCTGTGGGCCTCAGTGCCCTCTGCTCAAACTGAGTGGCTAGAGCCCAGAACCAGGAGATGCCAGGTGGAGTGTGAATTCCTGCCCACAGGGAGGCGCACCTGAAGTACACATAGCAGAAGAAGCCTGCAGTCTGCACGAGGAGGAAAAACAGGAAGATGCCTGGCCCCAGGCATGAGAAGAAAGTCCCTGGAGTACAGCCAGGTGCACCAGGAGCCTTGGTTGCTTCCTGAAAGGGACAAGTGTAAATTCCTGCCTCAGCTTCTCATCCAGAAGAGGAAGGAGACATGGATTCTGGGCCATGCATGTGCTCTGTTTCCCTCCCCCAGGCTAGAGGTACACCAGCTTTCATCCAGGAACCTACAAAGCTGCCTCCCCCACTCCAGCTCCCATGGCTCCATCTGAGGGGCAGCTGGGAAGGCCTGGGGACTGGGATCATCAAGGGCCAAAGGCTCAAAAGAAGAGAAAAGAAGTAGAGAGCTAAAGGCAGGGCGGGAGTGAGGGCAAGTGTAAGAGCGGGGTGGGACAGGGGCGTAGGGGGAAGGCCTGCTCCACCACCTGTGTCTGAATGACCTTGGGCACAGCCCAGCCCATTTCCCTTCCGGTCACTGGGGGTTAGACCAAGGGATCTCCAGGACCCTGCTGGTGCTAGGTCTGTGGGACTCTCCTGAGTGCAGAGAGGGCAGAGAGAAAATTCAGTGTCCCTGCATGTGGACACACACAGACACAGACATGGCTGTGCCTTTCAGGGATGCTGGGCAGGGAGGGCAAAGGTGAGGGGGTCCTGGGGCAGCAGGAGTGGTAGAAGAAAGGTGGCTGAGCCTGGACCACAGGATGGGTCTCCTGCTACCCCCTACTTCCCCTCACCCCTGGGCTCCGAAGATTCTTGTGCAGAAGGCTCAGGATCTGGTCCAGCTCTGAGAAGTGATGCTCGGTGCCCACAGGCAGGTAGACCTGGGCTCCTGAGGCCATGCGGGCAGCTGCATCCCTAGTAGGGGTGGGAACCAAAAGAGATGACTCATTAGCCCTTCTGGTTGCACCCAAATCACTTAATCTTTTTCTATAATTCCCATGGGTAGCACATGGGCCTGTTCCTGCGGACTGGTCTTTTCACCCCAAACCTTCTTCATAAATCCTGAGACATAGATCCTTTAGCTCAGGTAAGGATCTCTCTAAAGCTGTCAGTCTCAACCCCAGCCTCCCCTGGGTTCTGCCTTCCAGCTCCGACCCCCAGGGGATTTAATTCCTTTCCTTCCTCCCATTTGCCACCCTCAGATCTAGAAGTGTTAGGCTTTAGGCACAGCTTCCTTCTCCCTAGCATCCCCAGGGCTCTGCTTTCCCCAGGGCTCTATAGGTAGCTCCAGAGGCCTAGCCTAAAGTGAGGTGCAGGGAAACTGAAAGGGGAAAACAAAGGGACTATCTCCTTCAACTGGCCTGCTGTTGGCTCTGCTACCTCCAAGAACCCCCATCAAAATGTCCCATCCCTTAGCCAGCCATTGTGGAGGGCACCTGTAGTCTCAGCTATTCAGGAGGCTGAGGCAGGAGGATCACATAAACCCAGGAGTTTGAGGTTGCTTTGAGCTAGGCTGAGGCCATGGTACTCTAGCCTGGAGAACAGTGTGAGACTCTCTCTCTCAAAAAAAAAAAAAAAAAAAAAATCCCTTCTTTCCAGAAGGTTCAGATTTGTTAACCCTTCCTGGGGTGGGAACGTCCCATGGGGGCCTTCATATTGGGCTTCTCCCAGAGAGAGTTGCTTTTTATTTTGGGTGGGGGGGCAGAGTCTCATTCTGTTGCCCTGAGTAGAGTGCCCTAGTGTTATAGCTCACAGCAACCTCATACTCCTGAGTTAAATCAATCCTCTTCCCTCAGCCTCCCAGGTAGCTGGAACTACAGGCACCCACCACAACATGTAGCTTATTTTTGTAGAGAAAGGGTCTTGCTCTTGTTCAGGCTGGTCTTGAACTCTTGAGCTCAGGTGATCCACCCGCTTCAGCCTCCCAGAGTGTTGGGATTACGGGCCACCACTCTTGGCCAGAGAGTTGCTTTTGAATGAGGACTTTCAAAACTTCAAACTTGATACAGTTAAATTCAAGTCAAATCAACAAACTTAACTGCAACCCCAGCACTTCCAACTGCCAGGATTTGTGCTGGGTGCTCAAGAAATGATAAAAGGAATGAAAGGCTAATGGAGGAACTTCAGGCAGAGAAGCAAGGCGCAGTCCCCCCTCCACCTCCCATCCCTTACCGCATCTCTTGCAGGGTTTGGAGCAGAGTCTGCTGTCCACGGAGCAGGGTACTGACTTTGACAGAGTCCTACAGGAGGACCAGCCTCTTATTCAGAGCGCAGGGAAAGCCCCACTTTTCTCAGAGCCCACATTCCCTCCCAGAGTACGGTAGCTTCCTCCTCCTAGAGGCCTTCCCAGATTACTAGGGCCCTCCTTGTTCTGGATGCACTAAGTTTATTTGATCCCCTGTTCATCTGGATCTGTGCACATGTACCCCAAGCCCTTCTCCCCAAAGATGATTTCCCACCCATCCCCCAACAATGGCCACTCCTGGGCTTTTTCAAAATCCCTCTCCTTCCTAAAAGTGGCTGTATCCCCTGAAGGGGACACGGGCCCAGTCCTGTCCTGTTTGCCCGTCTTCTCCCAGGAACCTGAAGAAGAGGTAGCTACAAGCACAAAGGCATAATCCAAGCTGGGGCCAGTGCTGGTCAACACCCTGTGTTTGGGTCCCTGCATTGTTGAGTGACCTGGAGAGGGGGCCATCCTCTTCTGGGGCAGATGGCACCTGGCAGGAGGGGTCTAGGGCCTGGAAGGAGGATCGGAGAAGCTTGGCCCTGGAGTATGGGCACCCTCCCCTCTTCCCCTCTGCAGCAGTGCAACCTAAGCTGCTCTAGCCCAAGGACATAAGATTAAAACCTTGGGCTTTCAGTACCCAGCAAAGCCTGCAGGAACTGCTGGCCCCTCTGCCCAGTGCCTAACACCTTGGCTGAGTTTAGTTCTCAGGCCCCCAAATTGAGCATGACCTGAGGCCTGACTCCCCAGGGGAGGAGCCAGCTGGCAGTGGAGTTGAAATGAGGATTTTCATGCAACTGAGCATTAAGCAAGCTGTATGCAAATCACTTGCGAAGCTACATGCAAATTAGCACCTAGTCTATTTCTGTCATTCATCTACAGACCCGAATCTAAATACCTGGCATCTCCTCTCCCCAGCCCTAGCCCTGTGGTTCTGTGGGCATTTGTGAAAGCAGAGATGTCCATGTATGCTGCCCTGCCAGGTTTGGTGATCGGCAGCATGCCATCCCTGTCTCCTTCCTTCCAGACCTTGTTGGAGGGCTGGTTCCTGACTTGCTCCTCTTTGGAGCCTGCAGGTAGAGCCTTGGGTGCCAGAAGAGTCACTTACCCAGCCTCCCTCAGGCCTGGCCTGGCCTGGGGCTCCCATCTGCTGCTTCCATTGCCTGTCAGCCTGGGCCAACTGCTGAGAGAGACCCTGGAGAGCCCTGAGGATCTGGCTGTGTCTGTCCAGTGTCTCCTTCAGGTCAAAGAGCCTTTCCTCTGGGGATTGGGACAGAACTGGGATGGGCAGCCAGTTGGGTGAGGGCAACAGAGCCTATCTTTGGGGAGCACCCTGGAGAGGGCTGCCAGAGGTGAGGCTGCTGCTTCCAAGACTCTCCCCCAGAAAATGTGTCTGTGTTATAGAGATGGGACAGAACACCTAGGTCTGACACGCCATTTAGATATGGCCTCCTCAGGCCTCCATCTTCCCATTGGTTAAAGGATTCGGTTCCTGGTTCTAAGGGAAGAGGATCTAATGATTCAGATGGGCTCTTGGCCCACCTACCCACTTCCTGGGTCCCTACCATCTCCTAGTGCTTCAGAGGCTGGCTGTGGAGTAATGTCCTTCCTGCTGCCCAGAGTCAGCCTTGCCTGCAGCCCTTCCAACTGCCTCTCCAGGTAGAGCTGCTCCATCTCCAGGAAGGGCAGAGGGGAAGGCTGGGGGAGGAAGACAGAAAGTTGGGCGGAATCTACAGATCTAGAGGCTCCCCCACAAGCCCAGTCTGCCTTCCTGACCAAATACGCACACCAGGGAAGAGCCCTCAGCTTAGAAACCCAGCCCTGTAGTCTCCAGCCCTCTGAACTATGTCCCTTTCAGATCCCCACACCCTTCCCTCCTGCTGCAGCCTCGGGGCCATACATGCTGCTCTTCCTCTATTCCTCTAATCTTAGCTCCTCCAGGCAGCCTTCCCCATCCCCTGGATGGTTCATGGAGGAGCACTCTTTCTCTGTGCTCCCACAGCCTCCTGCACCCTTTGAGACCCTGTGATCACTCTGGACTATAACAGCCTGGCCCAGCCAGCCTGAGAGGCCTTGAAGACAGGGCCTGGCCCCCAGCACCATCCAACACAAGGCCTGGCCTGCGCAGAGCTCAGGAGGACAGGTGGGGATAAGGCTGGAATGGCAGGTCTGAGGGCCCTATGAAATAGGAGAGAGAGGGAAGGGTCCTGCCACTCCCAGGTAGCCAGGGCTAGCATCACCTCTGGGCTCGGCTCACTCAGACTGAAGGTCAGGAAGGATAGGACATCGTGGTCATCTGGAAGGAGGTAGATGAGGAATAAATAAGACCCCTTCACCCAGAACCCACTTCCTTGGCCCTCACCCCCAGCCTCCATTTTATCCCAGGGAGGCAGCTCTCTGACCCTGTCTTACTTGCTTCACAGGACAGGTATGAGGATCAGGTGAGTAGATGGGTGGATTGGCTGTGAAGGTTGAACCTCACACTCAGCAGAGGTGGGCCCGCGTGAATGAGAAAAGTGGATGATCCTGAAATACCCTGCACTAGAGCCATGCATGGCAGCAAACCAAGAGACACCCTCAGGTCCCAGAGCACATCTGCTACTGGCAGAGGCAACTTTGCATGGCTCTGACCATGTTACTCTTCTCCTCTGAAATCTTCCATGGCTCCCCAGTGCCCAGGGTCTAAAGACTATAATCCTGACGATCAAAGATTCACTTGCCTGCCTTCCAGTTGCAGAGCCTTCCATGGGCTTCCCATTGCATCAGATCTCTTTGCTCCATTTTCCTAAATATTCCTCCTCTTCCCTATTCTACCTGCCCCACAGTTCCCACCTAGGGGCACTCATGGGGCCCACACTAGAATACAAGCTTCTCTTGTTTTATCCAGTTTGAGACCTCCAAATCTTAGGGCACACATGACTTCTCCCAGTGGTAACTGAGGCCCAGAGAGAACTCATGCCTTGCCCAGGTAGCATGGTGGGGAAGTAGCTAACCCTACACCCAGTATGCTTAGGAAGATTCTTTAGTCCCACCACCCTGCTCTTACCTGCCCAGTGGGATCCTTCTGCCAGGGTGCTAGTGGCTGCTGAGATCCCAAAGAAACCTCCAGAGACCAAAAGCAGGGGCCCCACATCCACACAGACCTCATAGGGATCACTGGGAGTAAGGCCGCTGTTGGACACCTGAGGGACATGGAGGGAGTGAGGCCTCTGGTCCTCTGACCCCAGCAATAGGGCTTCGTCCTCACCTCTGACTCACTGGCTGCCCCAGCCATGAAGGAGGGCAGACAGCCACAGGGCTTGGTGTCAGAATGGCATGGAGGTGACTCACACTCCTGGTCTCATGCTAGCCCTACATGCATGTGTTCTGGGTGAGTGTTAGGAGTCTGTGTAGGGGTGGAGGATAGGGAACCTGCATTGTGTCACAGACACCAGTCTGTTGGGGCTGTGGGCACTCACACACCAACTCTGTAACCCAGAGCATTGGATTCTGTACTCCCCACCTGGAGGACCCCAAAAGCAAGAGGGGCCACTCACGCGCAGTCTCTGCTGCCAGTAGGTGATCCTTACTCGGAAGGGGTGCGGCTGGTTCCGGAAGTCCCGATGACAGGAGCCCAGCACCCAGCTGGCTCCATCCCTGCGGGCACTTGAAATCCAGCCAGGCCACATAGGACCCAAGGCTCAGTCACTGAGGGAAGTCCTGGAAACCACTCTGCTCAGTGCCTTCCCCAATGGGGGTGGCACTGCAGTGGGGGAAGGGGTGAGTTGGTATGGGATGTATTTCTGTAATCTACCTTGGATCTCTCTTGCTGTAGTCTGCTCTCTTAGGAGGAGAGAGGGAGGGAGGGAAGATGCTTTGCCTAGTGGGATGTCGAAACTTGGGAGTTTACAGAGAAAGAAGCAGGGGCCTCCCTGTGACCCTTCCCTAGGGGGCAGAGGTATGGACCAGCAGTGGGCTTTCTGCCTTCAGTCCCCCTGACCAACCACCTCATCCTCCCGCCCATCTCTCCCCTCTTCCTTCCCTCCCAGTCTTGCTACTCTGGGTAGGGCCTGTCTGTCCCCTTCCTACTGCATGGGTTAGACTGTAGGGAGATGACACAGGACATGTCCTAGTGGCCAAGGGCAATGTGACCAGCCCCACCTTCCCCAAGGGGCAGCGCAGCAAACTCTGGGGAGTTAGAAGAAGAGAGCGGAATCCTGAGTTTCTATGAACCCACAGGCCATGGGTACAGAAACTCTGGGACACTGTGGGCAGCCCACACCAGAGCAGCTGGCATTGCTGCCCTCAGCCAGGAGGGAGGTGGCACAAGACACAAGCCAGCAGTGCTAGAGCAGCCGCCTGGGTTTGCATTCCAAGCTGCGTGACCTCGGGCAAGTTACTTCACCCTCCCAAACCCCGTGTTTCCATCTTTAAAAAGAGGAGGCTAATTTAAACTACCTCATAACAAGGTTATGAGGGTTCAGTGAAACAGTGAATGCGAAGGGCTTGGTACAGCGTCTGGCGCATAGTAAGCTCAGCTCCATAAATGCCAGCAATTATCCTAATTGTTATGAGCTGAGGGTTGTTTGCTGAGAGGGACTCTGACAAACCGGCCCAGCTACTGAGGAGGCAGCCAGCTCGGTGCTGAGCGACAGAAGCCACGTCATCTGGGGAAAGGGAAGGAGCAGCTGGTTCAGGGAAGGGCACGGATCCTCCACAAGCAAGTCTGGGCTCAAATTTCGGCCCTGCACACACCGCTTTGTGATCTGGGGCATGTCACTTCACCTCTCTGGTCCCCAGAGTCCTTACCTGTAAATGGATTAATACTTCCCAGTGTCAAAGATGTTGGGGATGAGATGAGATAATGGGCATAGAAACGCTTATCACAGACCTCCGCCTATGTCACTTCCCCTGGGGCTATTGGGTGGTTCCTTGTTCCCAGGCAGGAGCAAGCAAAGTCTAAGGGGGCATGGAGAGAGTGAGCCCTCTGGTCCTCTGACCCTAGCAATGGGGCATTGTCCTCACCTCTGACTCACTGGCTGTCCTGGCCATGAAGGAGGGCAGACAGCCTCAGGACTTGGTGTCAGAATAGCATAGAGGTGGCCCGACCTCCTGGTCTCATGTTAGCCCTACATGCATGTGCTCTGGGTGAGTGTTAGGAGACTGTGTAGGGAGGCACAGCTGAAACTGAGTGGAGGGGTTTCTGGTGGGGGGGAGCAACCACCAGTTCAGAGTGAGAGGCCAGCAGGGATGGGAGCTCCAGAGATTGGTGCAGGGCATAGGTTGGTGGTACAGATGACTGTGACCCCCTCCCGGCCCAGGAATGGTGGTGAGGAGCAGTCCAGATAGACCTTACCCAAGTTGCTCATAGGGGCTGTGCCCGTCACTGGCCAGCACACGAATGGCAGGGCTGTTCTGCATGGGTTGGGGGGTAATCAGACTGAGCTGTGGGTGCAGGAGGGAGGCTAAGGCATGGGTGGGCAAGTGGGCAGGAGACTGCTACTCACCTGGATATCCTCAGCAGAGGAGTTGAAGAAGATCCCGATGCCATCCCATGAGGCTAAGCCCCCCAGAAGAGAGCCTACGTGGCCCCTGTCCCGCGTGTACCACACAGCCTGCAAGTTCCCAGTCCCTCAGCTCAGGCGTCCCTGAGGGTCACTGGAACCCCAGAGCTTATCACCTGCTCCCTGAACCACACCACCCTCCCTTACCATTGAGCCTATGTGGGGCCACTCACCATGCCCTGGGCTCCCCAGCGCCCTGGCCCAGTAACCCTCATCTGCATCTCTACCTCCCAGGCAGAGAAGGGCACGGAAGCCCTGCTCCACACGGCGCCACTGCGGTTCCTCATGGATGGTGCCAGCCGCACTTCTTCCAGGCCCAGGATAGTGTCTGTGGACCAGGGCAGCTCAGGACCCAGGCCCATTACACCCTTGCTCCCATTCACTGTCTCTTATTGGCTGGGGCTGGGTTCCAGGAGGAGGAATGAGAATGCCAAGGCCTGCCACTAAACAACAGCCAGCCAGTTGGACGCAGAAATCCAATGAGAAGTGAGAATGAGAGCCCAGAACAGCTGGGGTGGGGGGGCTTTGCCAGGGGACAGCAATGAATGACAGCCCTGTCTGCATCCTCATTTAAGCCCCACCATGGTCTTGTCTGTATAAGATCCCATTTTACAGATGAGGAAACTGAAGCTCATAAAAGGAACTGAGTGGACTGGAATTCAGCTCTATCTGACTCCAAAATATAAGCTTTTTCTGCCACAAGAGAGATGTGTGTGTAACCCTTCCTGAGGGATGAGGAAACTGAGGCCTTGTGAGGGAAAAGGAAATGCCTGAGGCCAGAGAACATAGAACACTTCAGGAGAGACCAGCCACAGGAAGGCTCAGGACTCCAGGCTATGGGAGATTGGAGGGACACTCTAGTGTAGTCAGATGTGGTTGGGGCCTCCTGGGAGTGGAAGGGAGCTAGGGGGCATTCCTGGATGAGGGAAGCATGAAGGCAAAGGGGTGGAGATGGGAACTGACCTGGAGGAAAGGGTGGAGTGTGTGGGTGGCGGTAGGGTAGGAGAAAGGAGCCCACCCTACCGTCAGAGAAGAGAGGAGGGAACCTTGGGGAGAGAAACTGAGGCAGATTTGGCAGGAACTGGAAGGGAATTCAGAGGTCCTACTCTAGCTGGCTCCCCCACCCCTCTGGTCTGCCAGCCTGGAACCTGGCCCAGGGCCCAGGCCCTGCCAGGACTTTCTGGAGGATGCTAATGCATCCTGTTTATCCTGCAAAGGCCAGGGAGAGGGGGCAGGGGGCTTGGAGGGTGCAAAGCCTGAAGTCCTGGGGTCTCTGGAAGCTGCCACTGCCTCTGCAGTGACTTGCAGGTGGCCAGGATTGTCTGCTGCCTGCTACACTTATGCATTCGGCTCTGTGGATTGTTTGTGTGACATTGCTCAGGACTGTGGGCCCCCAAAGCCTGACTCAGGAATGAATGAATGAGTAGACAATGGGTGATCTTGGAGAATATACCTGTGCTCTCCTACACATGATCTTTAATAGCCTAGATGTGTCAAGACCCAGAGCAGGAGACTCTGTCCTCCTGGCCCTGTGGCAGCACCTGGCTTGGTACCAAAAGACAGCCCACCCCATCCACGTCTCGTGCCTCTGTGAGGGAGGACTGGAAGAAAGACCCTACTGACAGAGCCTCTCACCTCAAAGGGATGTTTTGTTCTGGCTTCAGTCAGGAATTGCCATTTTTCAGAACTTATAGTTCATAGATAGAAATACACAGGGATCTTCTTTCTCTCTTTGCTTTGCTTGCTAGGAGGCTCTTGAGTTAAATCCATGGCCCAATTCTGAGGTGGACAAATCTCTCAGCATATGTTTTGGAAACTGGACTCATTCCATGGTCCGTCCTAACCCTATGTCTCATTCTTCTTGCTCACTCATAATTTAAGTACCTCTCTATTATATAGGTCCCTGTAAGTCATCACAAATCGGTTTTGGAACAAGATTAGGCAGAAGACAGCCCCTTCATAGGTCTGGGTTTAGAGGGCTCTGAATAGAACCTATGGGCTAAGATGCTCTCATCCTTGCTTCCGCCCCAGCACACATACAGGAAGGGCTAGTGCCTGCTCTGGGGAAACAGCTGGGCATGAGAATGCCCTGAAGGGGGTCCCTCGGTTCTCATGGACAGCCATAAGCCTGACAGGACAGAGCCAGGACAGTGAGGGTTTGTGCTGGTTGAAGCTGCCTTGTTTTTGTGCCTGGGACCTAGCATGGCAGCATGCATTCATCATTATAGGTTTAAGAGGCAGAAGAAGGGGAGGGGTCCAATGAGAGGCAGAGGAGAGAGAAGTTCTAGGGAAGAGGAGCAGAGAGGAGAAAACTGAGACTGGGAGTGGAGTGGAGCAGGAGACAAGCCTGGAAGGGATCCTGAGCCCCTGGCACGGTCTGCCCCAGGCCCTGTCCACTGTGGAGGCTGTACCTAGCAGACCCACTCCCCATCAAGTTGTAGCCCCTCTAGCATGCTGAGGGCCCCTGGGCATGGCTGGTACCCACCCCTGCCCTCACCTCCATGATGGCTCCAGAAGGGTATTCCAGCCCCAGGTAACGCCAGCCTTGGGCCTTTGAAGCTGAGCTTATACTCAAACCTGCGTTGAGGATGACCCCCCTGCTCTGTGCCATGGGGGGCCAGGAGCAGGAGAAGGCATAGCAAGGCATCTGGATCACTGACCACCGGCATTGTGCAGGAGCTGAGTTCAGGCCCTGTGCAAGACTGTAGCTGTGAGGCTAGGGAGGGGCTCCTGGAACCCAGCCAGGTAGGAGGAACTTGGGACTGGTCAGGAGCTGGGCTTGGCCTGTCCTCTCTCTCCCTCCCTCCCCAACTCAGACATCCTGTTCCTTCCAGGCCTGCTCTCTAGCCTGCCCCTCCCTCACCTCAGCCTGACGTGGACAGCCTGACCCCTCACCAATCTGAGTTCTGCCCCTGCTCCTGGCACAGGCCATCTTTCCACCTCCCCTTAGCTCCAGCAGCTGTTGGGGCACTCAGGGACGCCCAGACCCACCCTTCAGGAGTCCTGGCCTCTCCTCCCTTTTGCAGGAATGGTCCACTGTGTCCTGCCTCTTTCTCTGGCTATGGATGTTCCAACTATCTGGCTATCCGTCCACCTACCCTTCTCTTCTCCTAGCTTCCCCTTGTCTCTAGCTGAGATGCTCTGGTCTCTTCGACATCCCCCAGAGCTCATCCTCCACTTTCTCAACAAATACATTACATGAAAAAGAAAGGGAGTCTTAAGACAGAGCAAATAAGTGCAATGCGTGGACTTTTATGGAGCCAAATTTTAACCCACTTATTGGAAAAAAGTAAAACTGGGGAAATTTGAACAATGGATATTTGATTAATGAATTATTGTTAAAATTTTTAGGAGTCATTTATGATATTGTGATTTTGTTTTTGTTTGTTTCTTTTCTTTTTTTTTGAGACAGTCTCAAGCTGTCACCCTGGGTAGAGTGCGTGGCATCACAGTTCACAGCAACCTCCAACTCTTGGGCTTAAGCGATTCTCTTGCCTCAGCCTCCCAAGTAGCTGGGACTACAGGCACCTG